GACGACGATGGCAACAATGCAATGATACCAATATTCCAAGTGCCAACAAGCCACCATACAAGCAATGCAAGCAACCGTTCATCGTCGAGCAGTCAGCGAACAAAAAGTCAACGCAACAACAGATCAAACGATTCAGCAGCAGCAGCAGCAGCAGCAAACTTTGACTACGCCAATGACTCTAACGATGGTCAAAATGGAGCTAATGGTGGTAGTGCTAGTCAATCAGCAAGTCAATCAAGCGGTAGCATGCAAACAGCACCCATGCCACGGAACCGAGGCCAACGAACGGTGACGCCACGTCAGCTAACACCCGAACGTGCTCGAAATATGGATCCACAAGAACTGTCGCAAAACTTCCAAACGTTCAATCGGGGCTCTGGTGGCTAACCAATTCCACTTTGATTACACTCATTCCCACCTGATTACGCTAAGTACAAAGTGACTGATATATGTATATGTAATGTTGATTTGTTATCACTGATTTCATAAGTCGTTAAAATCTAAATCATCTTGTTAGGAAAATTCATAAATTCTATTCTTTCTAAACTTTTCATTTTCTTGATTTACTAAGAAATCCCGTTTCAATTTGATCCTTTGGATATTTCAAAGAATTTCTTCTTGATCTGTCAAAAAGTCTTTAGAACCCCAACAAAATAAAAATCTCTGCATAAATTCCAAGAAGAACCTTTTTTGGTTGGTGTTTCACTCATTCCGGTAAAAGTCGGTTCCATGAACAACAGCAACACAAATACAATGTTTACCGAAACCAACACTGACAGCGGTATTCCAGCGCTTGCTTGAATGTGATACATTTTTTTACATCCAATTTCTTCGAAAATCAAATAAATCCTAAAACAAAATGTATTGTCAAATGAATGGATGATATAAAAGCGAGAAAGAAATAATTTAAAAATATTAAATTTGTGCTGCGAAAACGTAAAAAACATTTCAAATATCGACGATTTGAAAACGCCGTTTGAGCACAACCATTGAACGCATCCATCGGTCTGTCATTGAAATTTCATTGGAACTGTCACTTTCGTCTAGCATTTTTATGCCAGATTACCGCCAACCGTTCACGAAATAACAACTGAAATCGAATGCAATCGGTGTGAATAAAATCGCTGTGCACTGACAGAAACATTGGTCAATTTGGTCAAAATGGTAAGGGTTCGTGATTTTCTGTCGATATATTCTGAATATTTCGATATTTATTGTAAATGCGTATATTGAAGGAATTTGAAAGAATTCCGTCACTTTTTTGTGTGTAAAAACTCACTTTACATTTCCACTCTGTAGGTAACTCCCGGCGTAGATGCTTGTGCATATTGCAAAACTACCCAAAATTTGGACATTTTGAACAACAATGAGTTGCTAGAGATGATGAGACAGCACAAGCCGGACTACGGTCGAACCACAAGATTCTGTGGTAATTGCAAAAGCCGTGCACTTGCCAAACTGAATCGACGAAAACTAAATGCGGCCATCGCTGCAAAGAAAGCAACACGAAGCGCTGGAGAACAGACGACATCATCATATTCAAATGCATCGCGTCCATGTGAGTCCTAACAAATATTTTCAAACAGTTCTCGTGGGCTGTTTTGTACATGACTTCAGTGGAAATGATGGATGTGTCAAATTTTTAATTTGAATATGTTCAAACTGTCGCTAAAATAACAAAGTTGGCAATTTGAACATCGTTTGTCATAACCTCATTTTATTGAGAGACGAGTGTAGTTTCGGATGGAAATACTTGGTTTCTGGTTCATTTTTGAGTTTCACTTATTTGGTGGTGGTGGTGGTGGTGGTGGTGTATAAACACAAACTGTACGATGTATTTGAACGAATTGTTACATTTTTGCCATATTTCAATGGAACATTTTTTCGGCATTCTCTTCACAGTCTTGAGTAATTCATCGAGCAGTGGATCGACAAGCAAACGACGTCGTGAAGAAGCTGGC